CGTGTGAACGCATGTGTATGCGTGTGTGTGCGGCAGTGTGCGTGTGTGAGTGTGTGTATGAGTTTGTGCGTGTACGCATGTGTGCATGTTTGCACGCGCTTGCGTGTTTGTGTGTGTGTGTTTACCATAAACCATTTAACATGTTTTCTACATCTTCATAATCAAGATTTTTAAGGACGCGTTTACAAAATTGATAGGTATAGGATCGAACTATTACATGAGATATTATCATCCCAGGAGTCCCCTTTTTTACTGGAAATGAGGCATTCCATCTTAGTCCTACGCACAACAACAATTTGACAACGACATTGCATTTTGATTTTTTAATTAAGGATAAATGTAGATGTCTATGGGCTACAACATCCACTTACCATCAGGTCGATTGTGTGCTCATTTGTCACAAGCGCCTGTGTAAAATCGTGGCTAAACTATTACATTAATATAAAGTAGCAAAGGAATAATTATAGAAGTGAAAGAAAATTAACTAATTTTTCAGATCCGGTTACTGCGATGCAAGCACCTGTGATATCAACAAATCCTGTAGTTATAAAGAAAAGGGCTGAAATGGTTTTAGGTATGGTTTATTTTGATTGAGAGTTAGAGAGATATTTATATATCATATTTGATATTTGTTCTGACAGATAATATTTAATATTTATTTGTATTATTTTTTTTTGCGTTTGTAATCCGGTATCCGCCATATGAACTATTTTGTGCATGAACGTAAAATAAATACCTAACTAATTTAAAGAATTTACATTAGACAAGAGCCAGAGCCGTGGTAGCTCAGTGGTTAACGCTGTTGTGGTGCTCAGTGGAGTAACTCGGGTTCGATCCCCGCCGGCACCAATGAAATTGTTAATTGCAATTTTAAGTGCTGATTTACCACGTGCTCGGCGGTGAAGGAAAACATCGTGAAGAAACCTGCATGTCTGAGGAATAAGAAAAAAAAATATTTCGAAGACATGTGAAGTTCGTCAACACGCATTTGGGCAGCGCGGCGGACACTTCCTTGCCCTAAACCCTCTCAGAAATGAGGGGAGGCCAGAGCCCAGCAGTGGGACGTATATATAGGCTGTAACTTTACTTTTTTTACATTAGACAATAGGTACAAAAATTGCCATTAAAGTATTGGTCACTAAATTTAAAAATATTTGATTCAAGAAGGTCAATTTGCAACACAACTAATAAATACTTAATGATGTTTGTGGCGTGTTGCAATAAATGTTTCTTTCTTAAACAAAACCAGTTGATATATTTATTTATTTCTAATTTTTAAGGAGGAACATTAGCAGTCAAGAAAAAGACCAAAAGGGTATTTCAGACCAAGGTTGAAAAAGAGCTGCTTAAGCAAATTATAGCATCTAAAATAAAAATCAGTAAAATGAAAAATATAATTGCGAAACAGAAAGCTCAAATAAAAGCAGCAAAAAAAGTTTGCAACAAATCCTGCAGTTTTAAAAGTTTTAGACAATTGTTCCAGTACTGCGAAAATTTTAATGCAGTTACAGTGGCGAGAAAATAAGAAACAAGAAAAAGGACGACGATTTACCCTGCCAGAGAAGATTGCTGCTTTGTCAATATTCAAGCAAAGCCCCAAAGGATATCGGTTTTTTAGAAAAATATTTATTTTGCCTGCCCCTCAAACTCTCATTAAACTCATACAGAGGAGTAATCTCCAACCAGGACTTAATAAAAATATTTTTTCCCAGTTAAAAAATAAAGCACAAACTATGAACACAGAACAAAAATTATGTATTCTGTTATTTGATGAAATGATGTTGAAAGCTCATGTTACATTTAATGAGAGAAAAAATAAAGTAATAGGGTTTGTTGATAATGGACAGCAACGAAAGCCAGAGTATGCAGATCATGCCCAAGTTTTCATGATTCGTGGGCTGATCCACAATTATAAACAAGCTGTGTCTTATACGTTTTCGTCAAGTGCAACAAAAGGACCAGAATTAGCGAATCAAATAAAAGAAGTAATAACAGAGATACAAAAAGCAGGATTAATTGTGGTGGCTACAGTATGCGACCAAGGCACAAATAATAGACATGCTATAAAACTTTTGATGAATGAAACTAGGGGTAATTATTTGAGAAGAGGGGAAACTCCTAAAGATAATATTATGTTGATAAATAATACTGAGATTATTCCTCTGTATGACCCTCCACATCTTCTTAAAGGCATAAGAAATAATTTATTAACCAAAAATTTAAATTTCACCGTAGATGGCGTGACCAAAACCGCCAAATGGTCTCATTTGCAACTTTTATACAAAGAAGATCCGGGGTATAAAGGAATACGACTAATTCCAAAACTAACAGAAGCCCATATTAACCCAGAAAAATTAAACAAAATGAAAGTCAAATATGCTTCACAGATTTTCAGTCGCACTGTATCATCAAATATGGGATACCTAGCAGGTATAGTCAATGTATTTAGTTCATATATCTTGTATGAATGTTTTATTGTTCTTGTTAATCCAAATGAACATTTGTTTCACAGATAAGGGCATACTTCCAGAAGAGTGCAAAGACACGGCTGATCTGCTGCTTTTCATGGATAATATTTTCGACTCAATTAATGGCAGTTTTAAAAAGAAAAGACATGCTAAACCTCTACTTGGAGCTGCAACACCTCACTCCATACATCACAAAACATGGATGGATGCCAAAAAAGTTTTTGCGTCTATGAAATTTATATCTTCCACTGGGAGGGAAGAATCTATTCCAACTGTGACAAATTGGGTGTGGACACTAGAAGGGATCGAAGTTTTATTAAAAAAATTGGAAATTGATCATGGTATTACATCAGTGTGGTTGCGTCAACTAAATCAGGACCCACTGGAAAATTTCTTTGGTGCGATTAGAAGCCATGGGTGCCGCAATATTAATCCAACTTGTGACCAATTTGAGTCAGCTTTTACTACACTTTTGATTAATAATTTAACTAGTGTCCACACTCATGGTAAAAACTGCGAGCTCGATTATTGTAATGCCTTGCATACTCTCATCGTTAATGAAAACTCAGAGGCATCGTCAACCTGCACTTTTGATTTCACAAAAATTTTAGAAATAAACTTCACACCAATTACATTGAAACTAAACAACCCCCGTATAATTGCGCCATTACAATATGTTAGTGGATATTTCTTAAAAAAAGCAAAAACTCAAGTTTTTAAACATTGTGTTAACTGTAAATATGACCTTATTTCTGAAGAAGAAATAGAATACATAAAATACAGAGAATATGCGGGTAGACGATGGCTTTGTACTCCCAGTAATGATTTGATTCAATCAATTTCAAATATGCAGGATATAATCAATCATATTTCAAAAGACAATTTTGAAAATGATCAGCTAAAAGAAATTATAAAAACAAGCATATATACTTTAATTGATTTTGATTTTATGAAATGTAATGTGCATAAAAATAAATTAGTTGATTATTTGATTAATATTGTGATACGTTGTCTGATTTTTAATAGTTGTAAAAATATTAATAGAATATTGACTGGGAGAAAAGAAGTAGATGATGATGAGAACTTTTTCCAAATTAAAGCCAAAAAGTTAAGAAGTAAACTTTTTAAAAGAAAGAAATAATTACTCTTGTTTTTACCAAAAAGAGTTAAATATTTAATTATTGTTACAAATTTTATTTATTCGTTCGTTTTAAACTAATCAATGATTTGTAATAATAGATACGCTTTAATTGAACTACCGAGTTATAAAAGTAAGAATAAAGAATCATAATTTTTTTTACATTTTTTATAATAAGCAGATATATCATTGCTAAATAGGTTAGATACTATGAAAAGAATGCATTATTACAATATTAATCAATTTATTTTTAAGCACATTTTATAATCGTAAGTCCATTGCTAAAGATTGGTGATATTATGGGAATATTTGTCAGTATAACAGGCGGGTTGGCAACCGCAGCGTTTTTTTTTTCTGAAGAGGCTGCTACACATCTCATGTTTTAGTTTATCTCTGTCGCTTCTTACGACACACGGAATCTCTAGCATATATACAGTAATCTATGCACAGGATGATATTGAGTAGTGAATTCTCTTACGCCGTCATTACATTACAGAGTAAAATACAGCACATTATTATTTCTAATATTTATTTTATTTAAAAAAATGTGTTAGAAATAATACAAAGAAGCATAATGATTTCTTAAATTTACGCGAACACTACACATTGAATAAAAACTATATATACGGATTTTATCGCGTTTAATCAACTATTTTAACTTATTTTTAATTCCCAAAAGTTAGCTACCGTGTGTAAATATTTGTTTCAGAGAGCACGTGGGATCTGTGACAGAAAACATATGGCCGCCGAGCTTCAGCATGTCAAGCAAGTGTTGCAAGACAAACAAGCTTCGGGTCCCGCGCCGAGTGAAGCCGGCCACAGTCGAGCGTCCGCCTGCTGTACTGCCGTATTTCGGAGGAGTCACAGACAAGGTTGGTTACATCTTGAAGGGAGCTTTCATTAAAAAATTACAAGCCGCCGAAGAAGATTGATCAATTTTTACCATCCATCAAATGTTATATTCCTCTACAAGATGCAGGTGTGTACAAGCTAGATTGTGAATGTGGTCTCTCTTAATTTTCCTTTTCATCATATCCAGTATAATTGTGTCAATTCCAGTAAATTACAGTTAAATTCTTTTTTTTTATTTAACAGTTTAATAATTATTCATACTGCGACAGTGCACTTGCATTGTCGCAGCGCATTGTCTGGCAGGGTCGCCGTGTAATGTTGGTAAAGATGGTAATGAGAGGAAACATACTCTAAACTTAACACTACATTGTCGTGGGATTTACTATTCAATCCACTGAGAAACACCCATTTCTCCTAACCTACAGTGATATATTTAGTTTGGTTATTTCTTTAAATCTTTCCTTGTCTTCTTTTGATATTGATTTATGAATTTCATTTCAGGTCATTACTCTGAACGTTCGGTACATCGATTATACACAAAAATGGAAGGAAATACTTCTCACAAAGAAAATCTTGGTTAGTCTGACTTATGATGCCATTTTTTAACAGTTTCAATTTAATGAACATAAAAAGTAAAGTAAAGTTACAGCCTATATACGTCCCACTGCTGGGCACAGGCCTCCACTCATTTCTGAGAGGGTTTTAGGGCAGGAAATAGTCCGCCGCGCTGCCCCAATGCGTCGTAATATGCGTCGAAATAAATCGTGTTGGCGAACTTCACATGTCTTCGAAATAATTTTTTTTTATATCTCAGACATGCAGGTTTCATCATGATGTTTTTCTTCACCGCCGAGCACGTGGTAAATCAGCACTTAAAATTGCAATTAACAATTTCATTGGTGCCGGCGGGGATCGAACTCGGTTTGCTCGCGTATTGTGAAATTTACAGCGAGCTCTAACCATCTGAGCTACCACGGCTCTTGAACATAAGATATAAACTTTTTTATAATGCAAAAATTTTGAATTACTCTGTATATTTAATGTGTTTCTATGATTGTAATTATAATTCAATGTTTTTAATGAAGTTCTTATAACTTATATGTGGTAGAGCCACGCTGCTTAATGCGGGTGAGTTTTGTATGGTGTTTAGGTTTTACTGGAAATGAGGTATTCTATCATAGTCTTCAGGGGTGGCAACGCATCTGCATTTTAATTTTTAATTGAATTTAAATGTAGATATCTATAGGTACAGCATCAAATTACCATCAGTTTGATTGTGTGCTCATTTGTCACAAACGCCTGTGTAAAATCATGGCTAAAAGTATTACAATGATATAAAGTAGCAAAGGAATAATTATAAAAGTGAAGCATGTTGCTGAAAGAAAATTAACTAATGTTTCAGATCCAGTTACTCCAATGCAAGATCCTGTGATATCAACTAATCCTGTAGTTATAAAGAAAAGGGCTGAAACGTTTTTAGGTATGATTTATTTTGATTGAGAGATGATAACTATTTATATTTAATATTTGATAATATGATATATATTTCATATTTGTTCTGACATAGACAATATTTATATGTAAGGAAAAGAGATAATCTACATATGAAAACTAAAAAGTTACCGGATAATGAAGAACTAAAGATTAAGTACTTATATGAGAAACATGTGTAACAAAATTATTAAAAATCTGAAAAAAGAATATTATAAAAATAAATTAATAAAAAATCAAAGAAATACAAAATGAACATGGAAAATAATTACAGAAGTGTGTAATTTAATTAATTTTGTACAGGGAAAATAAAGTTATGCTATTTGTCCAAAATTATACCAAGTTTGACGTTTTATTGTTTTTTTTTTTTGCCAAATTTTTGACGTCACGTGGCTAGTGATTTTATACGTTTTGATTTTTGGTTTATTATTATTTCTGTTTTATTTTTGTCTTAAGAACTTACCTAATACCTAATATGTTTTATATTCAGTAAGGGTAAAACGAAAAGAAACGATACCTACATAATTGAAACTGAACATCGTATTCATAAAATATTTTAAAATTCTGTTTTCATTTCGACACACAAACTGAGAGTAGCTGCTGCCGTCATCAAGCTTCTGGAAAAAATGTATAGGATAAGACTCATAAACAATGTTTACACATGTGCGATGACGAATTGCAATTTGCCTAGTATTATTAAGATACTGCATACTGCACATTATGAAATAATGGTATAAATGGGATAATTATACTACGAAATCCGACCCTGGTTACGTCGTGTTATAACGTTTGTATTATGACAGATGCGCTACTTTTTCTTGTATGAAGAATCCTTCATTTTGAAATCATTGGTATCATTACGTTAGCCTAATGGCAGGGTACGGGCCGCGAGCTCAAAAGGTCGTGAAATCGAGTCCGCTATTCGATTACTCTCGTGAACCGTCCCTAGCACAAGCATTTTAAGCTGGTGGTTAAGGGGAATATTAGTAATGATAATACCATTGCTAGTATTTTATCAGCCCTTTTTTACGTGGTAGAGCCATGCTGCAGTTATATCAGTAGTCCAGGAAGGACCACGCTCTCACAGAATACCAGCGTAAAATAGTAGCTTAATGCTACTGTTTCGTATGGTGAGTGTAGAGAACCGGAGACCCTTTTTACTGGAAACGAGGCATTTCATCTTAGTCCTCACGGGTGACAACGCATCTGCATTTTTATTTGTAATCGAGGATAGATGTGGATGTCTATGGGCCACAGCAACCACTTACCATCAGGTGGACTGTGTGCTCGTTTGTCACCCTATCCTATAAAAAAGCCCTTCTTGATTATTGCTCCACCACCTCTTATATGTTCCTCTGTTTAGCTTAATAGTTGACTGATAGAATTCCCTATGGCATTAAAGTGCACCCTATGAACTATTTTGTGCATGAACGTAAAATAACAAATTTAAAGAATTTAGATAGGTACCAAAATTTACATTAAATTATTGGTCAATAAATTTAAAATTATTAGATTCAGGAAAGTCAATTCGCAACCACTTATAAATACTTAATGATGTTTGTGGGGTGTTGTAATAATTGTTTCTTTTCTTTCGTTTTTTAAACAAAACTGGTTGATAATTTTTTTTAATTTCTAATTTTAAGGAGGAGCATTGGCAGACAAGAAAAAGACAAAGGGTATCCTTCGAGAAGAGTACGAAGATGCTGATCTGCTGCTTTTATGGATAATATTTTCGACTCAGTTAATGGCAGTTTTTAAAAGAAAAGATGCCAAAACTCGACTTGGACCTGCAACAGCTCACTCCATACATCACAAAACATGTATGGATGCCAAAAAAAGTTTTTGCGTCTATGATGTGTATCTTCCACTGGTACAATTTATTCCAACTGTAAACAATTGGGTGTGGCCACTAGAAGGGATGGAAGTTTTATTAAAAAAAAAAATTGAAATTGATTTTGGCATTACATCAGTTTGGTTGCGTCATCTGAATCAGGACCCACTGGAAAATTGCTTTGGATCTGTTAAACGCCATGGATGCCGTAATATTAATCCAACTTGTGACCAATATGAGTCAGCTTTTGCCACCCTTTTGATTAATAATTTAAGTAGTGTCCACACTCATGGTAAAAGCTGCAAGCTAGATTATTGTAATACTGCGCACACTCATTGTTAATGAAAACTTAGAGGCATCGTCAACCTGCACATTTGATTTCACAATAATTTTAGAAATAAACCTCACGCCAATTACAATGAAACTAAATACAAACATTGTGTTAACTGTAAATATGCAATATTGTTATTTTAACAGACTCAAAGTTACAGGCTGACTTCAGAATAGTATATTTAGAATGGATACCTTCGCACATTGGCTTAGAGGGTAATAAAAAGCTGATATTTTAGCCAAACAAGCTATTTCGGCTATTTTATTAATTTTACCCCTTCATTTCAAAACTATATACCTTTACCTTTATTAAAAAAAATATATTGACGAAAGAGCAAAAGAAAAGTCCAGCCGTACCCAATGCGCTCAACCTGGATAGATAATGGAATATTGTGTAGACCCGATACTGTGATAGCATTAAGACTCAGATCTGGGCACATTCTATGCAATAAATTTTTGTACTTGAAGCGAAAAACTACCTCACCAAACTGTTCAACTTGCAATGTTATAGATGATGCTTATCACATTTTGATAGAATGTGCCCAGAACTCCATAGAAAGAAAAAAATTGCTAGCATACTGCTTTAATATTTGTTTTCAAATATTCATTATTATATAAATATTATTGCTTGAATATTTGTTTTTGTCAATATTCGATTCGATTTTAATGGAGCAATATGCAGAATTGCTTATTTGATTGGCAATTGGTTTAAAATTCATTTCAAAAATTATAAATCGCCGCAATTCCAAAGGACCTAAATTTTACTATCATTTCAATTTAATAATTAAAAAGATTAAGAAAAACAAATATTCAAGATTGGATTTGATTTTAATTTGATATAGGCCGAATATGGTTGTCACCGAATACGAATATTCGGCCGAAAGTTCAGTAAAACTTTTACCGAACAGAATATTCGGCCGAACATTATTCAACGGGATCACCTCTGTAACTAACCAATTATTAATATATCTAAACTGACGACCAAATTAAAGTGAAATGTACTAATTTAATTTAATGTTTTCTTTGTTTGATTCCAAAAACATTTTATCAAACTTTCTATTTGCTATAATCGGAAATAAATCTAAAGTACCTCGAAAACATGACATTTCAAGTAGACTTAACCCATAAATAAAATATACTTTCAATAGTAAAATTATGAAAGACATGACATTACTCAATTCGTACAATTCAAGTGGACATTTTTAGTACCATTTAAACGAATATTCGGTGATTTAGCCGCATATTCGGCCGAGTATCTTCGTCTCAATTTAATGGAGCAATAATGTAGAATTGTTTTAGCAATTGGTTTCAAATTTATTTCAATTGCAAACGATCTCAATTTTATTCTTGACGCATTTTAAATACATATTATAATATAAGAAGTTGAGTGCAGATTTACATTATTTAATGTTTTAAATTTAGTTCTTATCTTTGTTTCAGGCTGTTCATTAATTGCTATATTTAAGTTGAATAAATGTACTGATATTTATTATTGTCATAACTATTATTGTATTTGTGTGCTGTTTTTTAATAAATCCTGTAAATATAATGTTAGTTTTATTTATTTTGATTTTAATTATTAATATCTATGATGAGAACAATAATATTTATACGTAGGTGCTACATAAAAATATATATATATATATATATATATATATATATATATATATATATATATATATATATATATACGGCATGTGCGTATATATAAGCTTATATTTATAGATATTACAATAAAGTTGCTAACTTTGAATACTAGAGGCGCTAGTTATGCATTGCCATTTTATAGGTCGAAGATTGGTCTCTATTTCAGTTTATACAAAGGTACTCTGTGGAGCAGTGGCAGTGGCTGAATGTAAATGGATGGGGCTTTAGAACATAAAACTTGGAAACCTATGAAATGCTATTATGCAAAATTAAGACGCACTTAGTAAACTAATTAAAACCATATCTATTGACTACTTTTTATTTTAGTCGTATTATTCCAACCAACAATAATAATATGTGACACTGTTCGCAATTTCAAGCGAATAATTCGTTTATCACATACTAGATGTCGCCACTACCTGTAGGTAGCTTTACAAAATATAAAAAAAATTCCAATTAGTAGAATATAAGTGTAGCTGAAATTAAGATATTTTCTTTTGTTTAAAGTTAATAAAAATCTGTGATGAAAGTTTTTAACGTGTGCTTATAAATAAATACCGATTACATGTGCTTTCGTAAAACTGTTCATTAAAAAAAAACATAACTAGATGTTTTTGGTATGATTTTGAAACTAAATCTGGCAGCACATCATCCTGCCATTACGTGAATTCAGGGGGGGTACAGTTACATAGTAAGGCATTTGATCATAGAAAGTGTCGCCATCAAGTGTATAGTACGGGTCATAATTTCCTCAGTTTACATTGTATTAGTTAGTTTAATCGTCACTAGATGGCAGAATTTGAGAAGCTCAGTAGTGATCCATGTTACGCAGTATTGGTCAATTAACGTTCAGCAATTTTTATTTTTATATTTAAGTATTTAAATAATTTGCTAATTTAAGTTGTTTATTTATATCATATAAATTATATACTACACATTTTGTAGCATCAATAACAAATATTAAGTGATTTTTTAAAAGTATAAATGAAACGTTCCGATTTAGTTTGTCGAGTAGTCTGTGGCGGAAACTAATTATAAGTACTCTGTAGCATAAAAGAAATTTCAAAGTTTTGAAACTTTTATTGGTGTTCCTTATATTCTTTTTAGAGATTGAGTTCGATGTACAAGTGTTATTTTTCGTATCCTTAGATTTACTTTGTTTTTAGCTTGAGATCTTCTGGTTTTACTTTAGTTTCCTATAGCTTTAATTATATCGTTATTAATTTTGTGAATAAGTTTATTCCGTAAGTTAAGGTGAAACCTACGGACTGTTCCCAGCCATTCTCCCGCAAGATGGCGCTGAAGTCAACATTTTTAGTTTATTTGGAGTTTTGTGTAATTGGAAAATTATTAAGTTGTAGGAGTAGACTTAGCGGTTATCGGATATTACATTTTATTGGAATGGAAATTTTATCATATCATTGCCTCAAAATCCACCCAATTCGACATTAATTTTGATTATAACATCTGTCGTTTACACACGTAGACGTATCCCTACGTTTACGATGCTAGAACACTAGATGGCGTGTATGTAAAAAAAACAAGTTTTTAATTTTTGTATGTGTAGATTGGGTAGGCAGAACTACAAAACGCTATGTACGATTGTTATAAAAATAAAATTTATATTTGTTGGCGTAAACTATTTAATTGATTTATAACTTTGGGAAATAAATTATGTCAACATTGATTACAATATAATGCAGTTTTATTTGACACACATACTCTATTGAATTTTTTATGAAAACAGAAGTACCTATTTGAAGCAACATAATTATACTGATACATGCCTATTCACTCAAAATTAATAACACTGATGATTTGTAACAATACCAATTATTACAATAATTAGACATTTCATAACCAACACGTAAGAAACTATAATTCGCAAACAAGAGATAACAACAAATCTATAACACGATTTATTTTGTGATAATAACCAGGAAGTTTGAAAATAATAGTTCCTAATTTCGAAGCACTCAACAAAAGCTTTTAGTAAAACAAAAATATAAATCCTATACCTACGAGCAATATATATATATATATATATATATATATATATAATATATAATTGGAATCTCCAACGATTTTCGTAAAATGTCGTTTTATCCCCATTTTCAGGCAATGAAAAACTGCTACATTATAAGAAGGTAAATTTTAACACTGTAATCATGGTCGTAATAGTTCAAGTGGCTAACGCACTGTTGCGAAATCGTAGTTCCATGGTTCGCGTCTTAGGTCTTAGGATTGACTTTTTTCCCTTTTTTTTTCAAGTTCCCTTCTTTTGTGAGAAAATCTATCATTTCGAGCCCTTTTTGTAGTATTTTTTTAAAAATACGAAAATTTTATTGCACTCAAGATTTTTCATTTTAATAACCAGTTCAGTTTTTTTTCTATTATGTCGGTAAGATCAAAAATATTCTTCATATTTTATCAATATGTATTTTTAATCTAAATGTAACTTCCAAAACACACGATTTCCAAAAAAAAAAATACCGAGAAATGCTCGGTCATTCAGGTACTATACAATATAATATGAATATAATATATACAAATCTTCCTTCAATTCTATATGGATAGGGTTGCGTTCGAAACACAAGATCTATGTAGAACACTAAAATGTACAAAAATTTACTTATCTTTTTATTTCAATGTTATCTTTATATTCCTGGTGGAATTGGCCGACGAATAAGAAAAATATAACTCAGATTAGAATAAGCTATTTATTTATAAACAATAAAGCACGGAACAGAAAAAAGGATTTTATGTAATTTTATTATATTTGTTTCTGAACGCACCGTAAGGTATGACGTAGTGACCACAGAGTACCATAGATTACTGCCTATATACTAGAGACAGAGTACCTTTGTATAAACTGAAAGTAGTGACGAGTGAACTTGAGCTCTACAAAATATAACAAACTAATAATGTGTGTCTCTCTGAAACTGTTATATTTAGCAAATGTTTGCAAGTTTAATTTTGTGACTACTTTGGTAGTTTACCGATTTATAATAATTGTATTTATTGTTGACCAAAAACATATTCAAACACATTCATATATGAAACACCGACACGTATGACGTAGGAAATCAGTATTGTGACGATATTTCAGAAAAATCACGGGCCAGCCTGCTGTTAACAATACTATCGAAAACATAATTGCGTTTTTAAAATAATTAGTTACTATACCTACGATAAATTACAACATAGTCTCAAATATATACTAGAGAAATATTGCAATTCGAATCAATGAAAACATACATACAAAATATGTATATACACAAGAAATTCCGCGCGCAAATCATAGCGCGTGACAACCGAAATCACAATATTAAGCCCCATTTACATTCAGCCACTGCCACTGCTCCTCGCGCTGCCGGCAATACTTCCCTAAATACTGCCGTAGCAGGATCGCGGGAAGTGTGTATTCACACTCTGCCCTACCACTCACATCGCTTTCGGCTTTCGACTATGGCGGACGTCGAAATAATTACAGCGTCCGCGCTGTGTCTTCTTGCAATACAAAATTATGTTAATAATTTAAAAAGATATCAAGTTCAAAAGAAGATATATAGATAGATAGAAAATTTATTTGCTTAAAAACATGGTACATAAGATGATCAATGACGTGGAACTGACATGTTTTGCCATAATTGGCATGGAAAAATGATATGAAATACAGCTAATTACACAAACCCGATGTTGCTTAAAAGTTAGGTACACACATTCTTTTTGAATTCAAATATTATGTACAATTAAATACTTATACAGATCCACTCTATTTGAATTCTTATACAGTAAATTGTTCATAAATTATTAATTGAATTATTATATTATTGTTACATAAATAATATTAAATATTATATGAGATTAGTTAAGCTATTATTATTTTATTAATTACACTTCAGTATAAACTAATTCGTAATTTTAATTACAATAAAATTATAATTTAAAAATCTCAGGCTATTATGCAAATATTACCTTTTAACTTATTTTACATTTTAATTAATAAATAATCAATATGAGTTACTAATCGTTTTTAGAAATAAAATGTCAATGTTCATTAATTCCTTAAACTAAATTTTATATTAATATAATAAATTTGACGAATTTATAATTAATTATGTACATAGGTACTATGTTAACTCAAAAAGAAAATTCGTATTCGTAGAAGATGATGAATTGTGGTTTTATCGTTGAAATCCCATATAGTTTTTTCTGATTCCAGCAGTTCTAAAAACTTTATTGTATTTTCATTAATCCACTCGAAAGGCATTTTGGTAGATCGTATTTATTTAATAACAGGACGGCACGCACGTCCGTTCATCCAGGCGCTTGTCGCGAAGTGAGCGATGGAGCTGAATGTGAACACACACTGCCACTCGCGCTGCCCGTCCTTTGACTTCCGCACGAAAAACCGACATTTGAGCGAGCGTAGGGCAGTGGCAACGGCAGCAGCAGTGTCAGCGCGAGTAGCCTGTTTACATACTGCCCTGCCCGCTGCCCTGCTCACTGCCCTGCCCAACAGGGCTGAATGTAAATGGGGCATAAGATTATAGAGCCTGGCAGGAATGCACAATGCTTATCATGATAATATTATGCTTAAGATTCTATACAGAATATATTTTAACTTCTTATTAAATTAAAATCTATTTTTTAATGAGAAATTAGATTACAAAAGTGATTAATTGACACATTATCATATGTAATGCCCCATTTACATTCAGCCCTGTTGGGCAGGGCAGTGAGCAGGGCAGCGGGCAGGGCAGCGGGCAGGGCAGTATGTAAACAGGCTACTCGCGCTGACACTGCTGCTGCCGCTGCCACTGCCCTACGCTTGCTCAAATGTCGGTTTTTCGTGCGGAAGTCAAAGGACGGGCAGCGCGAGCGGCAGTGAGTGTTCACATTCAGCTCCATCACTCACTTCGCGACAAGCGCCTGGATGAACGGACGTGCGTGCCGTCCTGTTATTAAATAAATACGATCTACCAAAATGCCTTTCGAGTGGATTAATGAAAATACAATAAAGTTTTTAGAACTGCTGGAATCAGAAAAAACTATATGGGATTTCAACGATAAAAACCACAATTCATCATCTTCTACGAATACGAATTTTCTTTTTGAGTTAACATAGTACCTATGTACATAATTAATTATAAATTCGTCAAATTTATTATATTAATATAAAATTTAATTTAAGGAATTAATGAACATTGACATTTTATTTCTAAAAACGATTAGTAACTCATATTGATTATTTATTAATTAAAATGTAAAATAAGTTAAAAGGTAATATTTGCATAATAGCCTGAGATTTTTAAATTATAATTTTATTGTAATTAAAATTACGAATTAATTTATACTGAAGTGTAATTAATAAAATAATAATAGCTTAACTAATCTTATATAATATTTAATATTATTTATGTAACAATAATATAATAATTCAATTAATAATTTATGAACAATTTACTGTATAAGAATTCAAATAGAGTGGATCTGTATAAGTATTTAATTGTACATAATATTTGAATTCAAAAAGAATGTGTGTACCTAACTTTTAAGCAACATCGGGTTTGTGTAATTAGCTGTATTTCATATCATTTTTCCATGCCAATTATGGCAAAACATGTCAGTTCCACGTCATTGATCATCTTATGTACCATGTTTTTAAGCAAATAAATTTTCTATCTATCTATCTATCTTCTTTTGAACTTGATATCTTTTTAAATTATTAACATAATTTTGTATTGCAAGAAGACACAGCGCGGACGCTGTAATTATTTCGACGTCCGCCATAGTCGAAAGCCGAAAGCGATGTGAGCTCCGATAGGAGTAATAGTGTTCTGTGGATGTGAGTGGTAGGGCAGAGTGTGAATACACACTTCCCGCGATCCTGCTACGGCAGTATTTAGGGAAGTATTGCCGGCAGCGCGAGGAGCAGTGGCAGTGGCTGAATGTAAATGGGGCTTAACTGGGGCATTATATTTTATACAAGTCAAACAAGTGAACTTACGTAAGTTTGGCAACGCTTTTGTGTACCGTACCGTATCGTGTACCGTAGACTTCTCTGTCTACGGCAGTTTGTTGTCAGGAAGGACGGCAACGTCGCTTTACCTACGACTTTTGGTATGCCACACAACGATAATAAGTAATAAAATTGTTTACAAAAAAACATAGGTGTCTAAGGTCATTAGTTTTATTTTATTTTATACAGTTTTTTTTAACGGTTGGAAAGGAAATTAACCAATTATTGAACTTAAGATATTGATTTATTAGAATTATTTAAGATCACTTGGATGCCATCTAGCGTGCCAATGGTGCGTTTGGCAAAAACCCTTAGGTTTCGGCCAGAAACATGCCATTCGGCCATCCGCATTTTCTTTTTTATTTTTTTTTTGTTTTAAAAACGGGAACTCTCTTTCAAAGTTTAAACGTCGCCTTTCGTTTGCTTGTCAAAAGTCGCGCACACTACCACAGAGTACCTTTGTTTGTATAAACCACACTACTAAAGAAGTGTCAAATTTTTCCGGGATTTCACTATTGCTTTTCTCGGTATATAATGTAAGTTATTGCCTATAAAGGTCAGAGGCGTACACATTTCATTATCGAGAAGTGATAAAATGATTAGTTTTAATGAAAGAGTGTCTGTGTTTAGTGTATATATTGTTTAAAAAATGTATGGGCGGACGGTCGACGCATCCACCTTAAGCACCTAGGTGTAGTCTTACTATTAGCTGTAAATTATCTAGTTTATAGTATTAGGAATTTAGGGTCGTTTTAAATTTATTGTATAATGTCTAAGAGTCAACAAAAACGGTGCATCCTAGGATGCTCTGATTTGGGTAAATATTCCTTAATATAAACTTCTTTTTAAATTAATCACGGACATCTTAATATCCTTATTCCTTAATAAAGCTTCTTTTTTGCTTAAATACTTCCAACAGATAAGTAGGTAATGAAGTTATTGACTATGTTCCCATTTTACAGGTGCATACATGCACAGATTTCCTCATCCAGAAAGACGTTCAGAATTGTATAAACGTTGGATTTCCATAGTAGGAAAAAAGTTATCAGAGATGGATCCATTGACGGTGTACAATAACAAACGTATTTGTGACTACCACTTTAAAACAGAACATAAAACTTCAGGTCATCGATTAATCTTTACAGCTGTACCGTCTCTATATTTAAATGGTGAGTTCACTTATGTCTGTTTTTTTTTTGTAATAGCGATGTTTCATTTCAAGTTGTCATAAATTGCGAAACAAATAATTTCATATTAATATAGTTTTACACGCAATTTATATATAATAAAATAGATAATAAAAAAACGAAATGTTTCAATAACATATAGAAATCAAACATTAGAGATTAGGTGTAATAATTAATAATATCCAGTCAATTTTTGGTTATGTGTGTTTTAATTTAGTAAGAGCTTTATAAAGTTGTTTCCTCATTCCAGGTGTAACTAAATCTCCCAACATTTCAGTGCAACTTGAATGTAATTATTGCATTCCACGAATGTATAATAATGTAAATGTTGCTAATATCCCTACAGAAAAATTGCCCAGTCATCTAGTTGACTACAAAAAAGGTATTATAATATTTTTTTAATAATGAAGATGATCAGAATCACTATTTCCCAATAGAGTAAATGGGGCCCTACACTCTATTGTGAAGAGTCAAAATGTGTCAAAAAAGGCACGTGTGGCAATTCACAACGCTGTGTTGGTCCCTACTTTAACATATGGTAGTGAAAGTTAGGTGTAGCAGAAGAAGCACGAGAGTAGAATAAACGCAGTAGAAATGTGGTTGTTAAGGAGTAAGTTGGGGCTGAATTTAAATGACATGGTGAGAAATTGTCTGATAAGAGAAGAGTGTGGTTTGCAAGATAATGTTGTTGAAAACTTTGCCAAGTTATTACTCACATTTGTGCGAATGGGCATAGTACAATTAGTTTACTCTTGGTGGCGCATTTTTTGTACTGGCAAATTTGTTTAAAAGTTCTATATCATTCAATTTCAATGAATAAAACTATAAAATTTTAAACTATATTCTCACAATTAGGAACTGGGCATGTTCTCTAGCTAATATGTAATAAGACTTTCTTTATTTTCAGTTTCTTCAAATCTCAACATTCCTTTAATAACTGAGAAGTTTCAACTCAATCAACCCTCAACATCAAAAATGTATAAAGATGAAGGTAAGAATTGCTTCTCAACATATTTTTTTTACCATCATGCTTGGCAGGTGGATTGACATTAGTAGTACCAGAAGTCTCAAATCTTTAAAGCTACTACCCATTGCCAGCTTGCATGTTTTATATCTGTTAAAACAAGACAGTTTTATTGACATCTATCAGAAGTTTATAGGGTTTATCGGACCTTTTATGACACATATAGGATGAAGTGAGGTGAGGTATTCTCATATAGCACCACTGTAAAGCACTTCGAGGCAAATCTCTCTACAACTGGTTGATGGAAATAATATCATAATACCTTAGAATGTTTATTTTGGGACATTGTTAACTGTTGTAGCGGCGCTGTCGTCGCGCCAATAGCACACCGAAACACACCGAAGCCTAAATCACGCTATCAACATTCCGAATCATAAACAGCATATATAGAACATCTCCGAACTATCACACGGAGTGTTGGCCGCTCCCCGGGCAGAACACCTTGCCCGGCGGGAGATTTCCCCTTTTCCTACCACGGCCACAGTGGTGACCATCCGACGTGATCTGAACATGCAACCAGCAACCTTCGGAAACTTCAAGCTTCATCATCGTCATAGAGTACCCCACCCATTCGCTTTCGCGCAGCTATCATCTGCAGTCTTCATATCCTGAAAGCCATCTAGCTTCACAAGGTTCATCGCAGCACTGGAATAATAATGCTTCCTGTTCCTTCAAGATACTCTCTGCGCTATACAGTGTTCGGCACGGCTCTGAGCCTCACTGCTCGCCTCTGCTTCACGGCACTCTCGCAGATTACTTGCCTTCTTCTCGACTCACCGCAGACTACAAGGCAATTTCCTGGCACTTGCACATTCGTCGGCAACGAGGCTGCACTATCGACCTCCGGTCTGAGCAGGGGGTGATGTAGAGGCGCTGTCGTCGCGCCACTAGCACACCGAAACGCACCGAAGCCTAAATCACGCTATCAACATTCCGAATCATAAACAGCATATATAGAACATCTCCGAACACGGAGAACACGGCAGAACACCTTGCCCGGCGGGAGATCTCGCCTTTTCCTACCACGGCCACACTGTCAATATTTTTGTGTTTAGTTTACTGATAATGTAGTTAATAAAAAAAAATCAATTAAGGCTCATTTATTAATTTTCAGTCTGTTTAACAGTTTTTCTTCATTTAATTGTATATATAATCAATTTAAACTTATATTCCGTTTTGTTTCAGCTATGAATAAACAATCATTACAATATGTTATGAAAAAACATAAGCATCTGAATAAACAGGTTAGGAAATTAAAAAGTCAAATAAAACACTTTAAAATTAAGGAAAAAGATTATAAAACACGTCTTGCAAATGCAGAAAAAACTTTTGCTAAATCAGCCTTCCAAAAAATAACCAAAAGATGACTTTACCAGGCAAAATTTTCACAAGCATGCAGTATCAGCAGGCTGTTAAAAAACCAAAAGGCAGACGTTTTAGTATCGAAGAAAAGATACTCGCTTTGTCACTTTTTAAAAAGAGCCCCAAATGTTACTCCCACATGTATAAATATTTCAAATTACCATCTGCAAAGTGTCTGAAAAGTTTATTGGCTGATATTAAAATCAGACCAGGTATAAATAAAATTATATTTGAAAAATTAAAAGAAACAGTTGCTGGCATGAATGTGGAAGATCGTCTGTGTTCATTGATATTTGATGAAATGTCCTTGACTCCACATGTGCAGTATAATTCATCCAGTGATGAATTTAAAGGATTTGCATGTAATAATGCCAAAGAACTGAAATTTGCTAATCATGCTCTTGTGTTCATGATAAAAGGAATAAAAATGAATTATAAACAACCTGTGTGCTATTATTTTACACAGTCTGAATAAAATAGATTTGAAGAAGATTTTAATTGAAGTAATTCGCGCAGTTCATTCTACAAGCTTAAAAATTTTGTGCACAGTATGTGACCAGGGTGTGCCAGATGTTGGTGCAATAAATAGTCTGGTTGCAGAAACCAGAGCCAAATATTTAAGGAACGGGAAGGAGTGGAGACATGATTCATTTCAAGTGGATTCAAAACTTATTATCCCGTTATATGATGTTCCACACTTAATAAAAGGCATCAGTAATAATTTAATTACAAAAGATTTGCGATTCTTTGATTTAAAAAATAAAGAACACATTGTAAAGTGGAAATATTTACAAATGCTATATAGTGCTGATAAATCTTACGGCGAGCTCAGGTATATTTTGATTGTCATTATAATCATTTGATACATAAAAACCTGCAGTTTTCGGATTGCTCTGTGCTTTTGTTATAAAGTAACTAGCTCTGGAGTAACTTATTTTCCCTGTTTTTAGATTTCTTCATAAGCTGACAGAGGAGCACATAAATCCTGCAAAAATAAAGAAGATGAAAGTAAAAATAGCAGCACAAACTTTCAGTCACTGGGTGCGTTTGGCAGAAAAAAGCGCTAGCAAGCGCTTGTAAGCAAAATGGCGATCGTAAGCGGTAAGCGCTGTCAAATCGTAAGTAGCTATTTTCCTCCAGGACACAATGTTAGTTTTAACCGGGGTACCTAACCTAATTTAAATATATGTTTGTAAAGTATTCATATTAAAAACTTACCAATCATGAATTTTTAATAACATGTATATGTTTATTCATGTCATTATATTACTTAAAACTAATATTGCGCAAAACAACTTATAAACTCTACTTCAAAACAATCAAATTAAATAAGCAAAATGGCGGATTGTGTCAGCGCTACTGAAGTAGCAATCATGTCCTTGCCGAAAACTATTTCAGCGCTTATAAGCGCTTGCTAGCGCTTTTTTCTGCCAAACGCACCCACTCTGTTGCTGTTGCTACAGAACATTTGACATAAAGTGGAGTTTTGCCGGAATTTTTTTATTGTTTCTTGACAAATTATTTGATAGCTTAAATGCTACAACTTTTCACGTTCTTGGTGGAAAAATATATAGGGGAGGGGTCAAGAAAAACTCTCCACATCATAAATTGTGGCAAGAGAGCTTAAAATTTTTTAAATTCAATGCAATTTTTAATTAGTAAAAGAAAGCGTAATACAGTAAGAATTTTAGAAACATGTGCACCTTCCATTAAAAATTTTATAAAGACTATTGAGGGTATGCAAGTCCTGTGGAATATTCTAAGTAAAGAATATAATTTTAACACTATGCTTACCAGAAATTTTAACCAGGACCCAGTGGAAAATTTTTTCGGCAATATAAGAAGTTTGGGTGTACGGAATATTGCACCAAACGCTGCATGCTTTGAAGGTGCATACAAAACTCTACTTTTAAATAATTTCGCTTCTGCACAAGCAGTAAATGCTAATTGTGAAGCTGATTTTAATAATTGTTTAAAAACATTAGACTTTTTTTTAGAAGATAAAGTAAAAAAAATGCTTAGTTCAGAAAGAAGTGAAATTTTATTAAATAGTAAGTTGTACAATTTTCTCATACAAAATTGTAATGAAACAAATGATACAGTGCACCAACAAAGCAGATATGTTTGTGGCTGGGTCCTGAGAAAATGTCTAAAAAAGATAAAAGGTTGTAAAATATGTAAAACTAATTTAATTTCTGATAAAATTAATGAAAACAATGAATATATTAAGAATAAGGAATATTGTCAAAATAAGCAGTGGCTTTGCTACTCTTCGGACAATGTTGCTCATTGTTTTAATGAAATACAAGACATTATTACCCAGTCTTTAAGATGTGATTTAAAAGTTAGTAATTTTAAAACAGATTTAAAAATGTTAGTAAAAACTATTGTTAATTTCCCCTTCATTTGTGAACTTCACAAAGAAAATCTGACAGAATACTTTTTAGAAGGATTAATTAATATTATAATTTATAGTTGGTGCAGGTCCATCAATAGAATTTTGACTGGCAAGCTAACTTATAATGATAATGAAGACCCTCTAAAAAAGAATGCCCAAATATATTATAATAAATATAAAAATAAGAATTTGTAAAGCTTTATTGTATAAGTGATTTCTGTGTTCCTAATAACCTACCTACAATTATACATTAAAAAATTAAGAAAATAATTGTTTTATTTCTGTAAAACTGTTAGATGTATTTCATGAAATTTCTCTAATTGTTCCATTTCAATTTTCTACTGATGTATCTATGTTTAGCTAATTACGCTCTTTCATTTTACATATTGCTTTAAAATATTCTAATTATTAGTAGCTAAACAATGATACATTCGTAGAAAATTGAAATGGAAATAGTATCGATTTAAAAAATAATATTGAATGTAAGGGTGAGTAATTATATATACACACACATTCAAGGAGCATGGATGTGTGCGTGGATTTTAGTATACATACACACATACGCATAATATAAGTAGCGTAACAATCACCAGATAGACATGTGTAAATCACTCATTTCTAGCGACCGAATCATTCTAGTACATTTCGTCACGCGTACTGGTACATTCGGAGCGATCATTCAAATGGATCATTTCAGGCTCCAGTACTCTGTCTGTACTGAGTCTGTGAGATCCATTTGGAACCGAAAAATTTCTATTTGAGATTTGTAATAGCGCCATCTACTACATACTGTAGGTAACAAAGTCATTTTATCGAACTAAAACTTATTAACTTTCAAGGTGGTAAGAACAATCGACGCTAGATGGCATAAACACAAAAACCTCAAGTTATATATTTTAAATGTTTAATAAATTTGTTTATTCTTAAATTTCATTCCTAACAATACACAATTTCATTTTACTTTACATGTCTAAAAATAGCGATTGTAACATTTATTTGCTACGAAATTAAACTTTTACCTATCTTATATAAGATGGTTGAAAATTATCGTTAAATAAATCGTTTATCATGAAATCTTTTGAAGTGTTATTTTTAGTAAACTCTACGAAATTATATTTTTAACTCATAGATTTAACAAATAAATATAATAAATTGTAAAATGATTTTTAATTTAGGTAACAATATTATAATAAAAAACCCAATACTCCTGATACTCTGCAGTTTTCGTATATATGCTCCACTAGGAGTAATGGTGTTCTGTGCATATATTACTCTACTCTATGCTCTGCAATCTGCATTGGGTATGTTCCGAAATACAACCACAGAGTACCTTTGTATAAACTGAAATAGAGACCAATCTTCGACCTATAAAATGGCAATGCATTACTAGCGCCTCTAGTATCCAAAGTTAGCAACTTTATTGTAATATCTATAAATATAAGCTTATATATACGCACATGCTGTATAAAAAATATATATATATATATATATATATATATATATGTAGCACCTACGTATAAATATTATTGTTCTCATCATAGATATTAATAATTAAAATCAAAATAAATAAAACTAACATTATATTTACAGGATTTATTAAAAAACAGCACACAAATACAATAATAGTTATGACAATAATAAATATCAGTACATTTATTCAACATAAAAGTAAAAGTTACGGCCTATATACGTCCCACTGCTGGGCTCAGGCCTCCCCTCATTTCTGAGAGGGTTTTAGGGCAAGGAAGTGTCCGCCGCGCTGCCCAAATGCGTGTTGACGAACTTCACATGTCTTCGAAATATTTTTTTTCTTATTCCTCAGACATGCAGGTTTCCTCACGATGTTTTCCTTCACCGCCGAGCACGTGGTAAATCAGCACTTAAAATTGCAATTAACAATTTCATTGGTGCCGGCGGGGATCGAACCCGGGTTACTCGCGTTCTGTTATATTTACAGCGAGCTGAGAACTGAGCTACCACGGCTACATAAATATAGGCTACATAATTATTCAACATAAATATAGCAATTAATGAACAGCCTGAAACAAAGATAAGAACTAAATTTAAAACATTAAATAATGTAAATCTGCACTCAACTTCTTATATTATAATATGTATTTAAAATGCGTCAAGAATAAAATTGAGATCGTTTGCAATTGAAATAAATTTGAAACCAATTGCTAAAACAATTCTACATTATTGCTCCATTAAATTGAGACGAAGATACTCGGCCGAATATGCGGCTAAATCACCGAATATTCGTTTAAATGGTACTAAAAATGTCCACTTGAATTGTACGAATTGAGTAATGTCATGTCTTTCATAATTTTACTATTGAAAGTATATTTTATTTATGGGTTAAGTCTACTTGAAATGTCATGTTTTCGAGGTACTTTAGATTTATTTCCGATTACAGCAAATAGAAAGTTTGATAAAATGTTTTTGGAATCAAACAAAGAAAACATTAAATTAAATTAGTACATTTCACTTTAATTTGGTCGTCAGTTTAGATATATTAATAATTGGTTAGTTACAGAGGTGATCCCGTTGAATAATGTTCGGCCGAATATTCTGTTCGGTAAAAGTTTTACTGAACTTTCGGCCGAATATTCGTATTCGGTGACAACCATATTCGGCCTATATCAAATTAAAATCAAATCCAATCTTGAATATTTGTTTTTCTTAATCTTTTTAATTATTAAATTGAAATGATAGTAAAATTTAGGTCCTTTGGAATTGCGGCGATTTATAATTTTTGAAATGAATTTTAAACCAATTGCCAATCAAATAAGCAATTCTGCATATTGCTCCATTAAAATCGAATCGAATATTGACAAAAACAAATATTCAAGCAATAATATTTATATAATAATGAATATTTGAAAACAAATATTAAAGCAGTATACTAGCAATGAAGACGTCTTAAACTCACATTATATAATGACTTATATCAAATAACTTAAAGCTCAAAATAAGTTATGCTTCTTTGCATTATTTCTAACACTTTTTTGAATAAAATATGTAATACAAAAAATTATGCGCTGTATGCCCTGTAGTGTAATAAGTCGTGACGGCGTAAGAGAATTTGCTACTCTAAAACATGAGCTATGCGTAGCAGCCTCTTCGGAAAAAAATATGCTGCCGTTGCCAACCCACCAGATATACTGTGGCAAATATTCCCATAGTATCACGCATAGAATACCATAATACATACATAATAGAACGGGGGGAGTGGGCGGAGCCCGCGTAGCCACTAAAATGTCACTAATACGTCAATTCACACGTATAAATGTCAACACGATATGTGTTTTGACGGTTACAATGGTTTCCAAATTTTGCATGCAAATTATTTAGAAAATGCCAAATTGCACACTATTTACGAATAAATATGTATGTGTTAAACGATTTTTTTTAATGAGATTCACTCTGTCAACACAGCGAATCGGGTTTGTCGACGCCCTTCCTCGTACAAAATAAAGCAAACTCGTACAAAATACAGCCATTCTATTGTGTATTATAGTATTCTATGGTATCACCAACCTTTAGCAATAGACTTTGTGTTTAAAAATAAATTATTTGATGAATATTGTAATAATGCATTCTATAGACTCATAGAGTATATCTAACCTATTTAATAACGACATATCTGCTAATTATAAAAATACAATTGTATAAAAAAAAATAAGACTCATTAATCTTACTTTTATAATTTGGTGGTTCAATTTAAGCGTATTTATTATTACATATCATTGATAAATCAGTTTAGAACGCATGAATATATAAAATGTGTAACAGTAATTAAATATTATTAACTCAATTTTGGTAGCAACAAGAGTAATTATTTCTTTCTTTTAAAAAGTTTACTTCTTAACCTTTGGGCTTTAATTTGGAAATAGTTCTCATCATCATCTACTTCTTTTCTCCCAGTCAATATTCTATTATTATTTTTAAAACTATTAAAAATCAGACAACACATCACAATATTTATCAAATAATCGATGCCTCTAAGTTTTCATTAACAATGAGAGTGCACAGCATTACAATAATCTAGCTCGCAGTTTTTACTATGAGAGTGGACACTACTTAAATTATTAATCAAAAGGGTGGCAAAAGCTGACTCATATTGGTCACAAGTTGGATTAATATTACGGCATCCATGGCGTTTAACAGATCCAAAGCAATTTTCCAGCGGGTCCTGATTCAGATGACGCAACCAAACTGATGTAATGCCAAAATCAATTTCAATTTTTTTTTAATAAAACTTCCATCCCTTCTAGTGGCCACACCCTATTGTTTACAGTTGGAATAAATTGTACCAGTGGAAGATACACATCATAGACGCAAAAACTTTTTTGGCATCCATACATGTTTTGTGATGTATGGAGTGAGCTGTTGCAGGTCCAAGTCGAGTTTTGGCATCTTTTCTTTTAAAAACTGCCATTAACTGAGTCGAAAATATTATTCATAAAAGCAGCAGATCAGCATCTTCGTACTCTTCTCGAAGGATACCCTTTGTCTTTTTCTTGTCTGCCAATGCTCCTCCTTAAAATTAGAAATTAAAAAAAAATTATCAACCAGTTTTGTTTAAAAAACGAAAGAAAAGAAACAATTATTACAACACCCCACAAACATCATTAAGTATTTATAAGTGGTTGCGAATTGACTTTCCTGAATCTAATAATTTTAAATTTATTGACCAATAATTTAATGTAAATTTTGGTACCTATCTAAATTCTTTAAATTTGTTATTTTACGTTCATGCACAAAATAGTTCATAGGGTGCACTTTAATGCCATAGGGAATTCTATCAGTCAACTATTAAGCTAAACAGAGGAACATATAAGAGGTGGTGGAGCAATAATCAAGAAGGGCTTTTTTTATAGGATAGGGTGACAAACGAGCACACAGTCCACCTGATGGTAAGTGGTTGCTGTGGCCCATAGACATCCACATCTATCCTCGATTACAAATAAAAATGCAGATGCGTTGTCACCCGTGAGGGCTAAGATGAAATGCCTCGTTTCCAGTAAAAAGGGTCTCCGGTTCTCTACACTCACCATACGAAACAGTAGCATTAAGCTACTATTTTACGCTGGTATTCTGTGAGAGCGTGGTCCTTCCTGGACTACTGATATAACTGCAGCATGGCTCTACCACGTAAAAAGGGGCTGATAAAATACTAGCAATGATATTATCATTACTAATATTCCCCTTAACCACCAGCTTAAAATGCTTGTGCTAGGGACGGTTCACGAGAGTAATCGAATAGCGGACTCGATTTCACGACCTTTTGAGCTCGCGGCCCGTACCCTGCCATTAGGCTAACGTAATGATACCAATGATTTCAAAATGAAGGATTCTTCATACAAGAAAAAGTAGCGCATCTGTCATAATACAAACGTTATAACACGACGTAACCAGGGTCGGATTTCGTAGTATAATTATCCTATTTATACCATTATTTCATAATGTGCAGTATGCAGTATCTTAATAATACTAGGCAAATTGCAATTCGTCATCGCACATGTGTAAACATTGTTTATGAGTCTTATCCTATACATTTTTTCCAGAAGCTTGATGACGGCAGCAGCTACTCTCAGTTTGTGTGTCGAAATGAAAACAGAATTTTAAAATATTTTATGAATACGATGTTCAGTTTCAATTATGTAGGTATCGTTTCTTTTGTGTTCTTTTCGTTTTACCCTTATGTCGCCTCTACACGTTGGCCAACACAGTGGCGAATGTAGTGGCGAATATATTGGCCGAGAGTTGGTGACGGCGTCCACACGTTGGAAGGTCGTTCAGTTTACTTCGGTTCGGGCCAATGTGCGGACGAATTTGTTTTATTTTAGACGTCGGCTCCGTGGCGCAGTGGCTTGGCAATGAGTGGCTGTGCCAGGGGTCGCGGGTTTGAATCCCGCACGGAACAAGTATTTGTATATCCTACAAATAATTGTTTCGGGTCTGGATATGTGTCCTTGTGCAATTTATGTTTGTAAGTAGCCTCCGCGACACAGGAGAAAATCCAAGTGTGGGGGGTAACGTTTTTATAAAATAATTATAAAAGAATAGTGAATATTAATAGGGCTGTAAATATTATATATATATAAGATTAGCTTTATTTATTCTTTACATGCATCAGAAATTGGAATAAATACCATTAATTAGAACTTAAGTTATTTTAAAGTTAAAGGAGTTATAATCGATTAGTCTATGTTTTAAAATTGGGTTTTGTTTTTAAAGTTTAGCAAAACATGTACTTGCTTTTCTATCAGACATTTGATGTATATAAAAAACACCTTATAATTTATTTGGTAATTTAATTATTTTTTGAGAAAGACAAAAACAATAGCAATAAATATAATTAACACTAACTTAATAATAGGTACTAATTATAACTTAGAACATAAATGAAAAATTCATGACAAGGAAAGTGGCTCAGGACCATGCTTTGCGGCAGTCTGTGGAGGAAGATGTTCAGTAGTGGACTTGTGAAGAGCTGTAATGATGATGATGATTCGAAAACTTGCACGATTAAATTATAAGAAATCGACGCTTTTTATATAGGATAGGGTGACAAACGAGCACACAGTTCACCTGATGGTAAGTGGTTACTATGGCCCACAGACATCTACATCTATCCTTCGGTTACGAGTCAAAATGCAGATGCGTTGTCACCCGTGAGGACTAAGATGAAATGCCTCGTTTCCTTTAAAAAGGGTCTCTGGTTCTCTACACTCACTATACGAAACACAGCATCATTAAGCTACTATTTCACGCTGATATTCTGTAAGAGCGTGGTCCTTCCCCGGTCGAGCCGACCCATTCGTGCTACAACTATACTTCTAATATAACTGCATGGTTCTACCACGTATAAACTTCTTTTTAAAATTGTGTCGTTTTTTTTTCATTTTAAAATTGTTCTCGTAATAACCTGATTGTAAATAAATGTTCGTTATTTTTTTTGATAAATAGCTTATCGATTAAAAAAATGTGTAAAAATAATTAAATCGCGCTAATTAAAGTAGTAGGAATGTTTAAAGTTGAAATTGGCACTAAAAGGCTAGTAATTGGGGCATCCACCCTACAAAACTTGAATATAAAATTTAAATCAGATGCGTGTAATCACTCTGGGAGCTTGTAGCAAACTAAACGCGAGGCCAACGTGTGGACGCGGCGACCAAACTCTGCCAACAATCCTTTGATCTCTTGTAAAAAACCGACACCACACGGATCTCGCGCCAACTTGCGGGCCATCATTCCAATACATACCAATGAAGCCCAAACACCCCGTCTACACGTTGGCCAATGCTACTGGCCACTACATTCGCCATTGTGTTGGCCAACGTGTAGAGGCGCCGTTACTGAATATAAAACATATTAGGTATTAGGTAAGTTCTTAAGACAAAAATAAAACAGAAATAATAATAAAACCAAAAATCAAAACGTATAAAATCACTAGCCACGTGACATCAAAAATTTGGCAAAAAAAAACAATAAAAAGTCAAACTTGATATAATTTTGGACAAATAGTATAACTTTATTTTCCCTGTACAAAATTAATTAAATTACACACTTCTGTAATTATCTTCCATGTTCATTTTGTATTTCTTTGATTTTTTATTAATTTATTTTTATAATATTCTTTTTTCAGATTTTTAATAATTTTGTTACACATGTTTCTCATATAAGTACTTAATCTTTAGTTCTTCATTATCCGGTAACTTTTTAGTTTTCATATGTAGATTATCTCTTTTCCTTACATATAAATATTGTCTATGTCAGAACAAATATGAAATATATATCATATTATCAAATATTAAATATAAATAGTTATCATCTCTCAATCAAAATAAATCATACCTAAAAACGTTTCAGCCCTTTTCTTTATAACTACAGGATTAGTTGATATCACAGGATCTTGCATTGGAGTAACTGGATCTGAAACATTAGTTAATTTTCTTTCAGCAACATGCTTCACTTTTATAATTATTCCTTTGCTACTTTATATCATTGTAATACTTTTAGCCATGATTTTACACAGGCGTTTGTGACAAATGAGCACACAATCAAACTGATGGTAATTTGATGCTGTACCTATAGATATCTACATTTAAATTCAATTAAAAATTAAAATGCAGATGCGTTGCCAACCCTGAAGACTACGATAGAATACCTCATTTCCAGTAAAACCTAAACACCATACAAAACTCACCCGCATTAAGCAGCGTGGCTCTACCACATATAGGTTATAAGAACTTCATTAAAAACATTGAATTATAATTACAATCATAGAAACACATTAAATATACAGAGTAATTCAAAATTTTTGCATTATAAAAAAGTTTATATCTTATGTTCAAGAGCCGTGGTAGCTCAGATGGTTAGCGCTCGCTGTAAATTTCACAATACGCGAGCAAACCGAGTTCGATCCCCGCCGGCACCAATGAAATTGTTAATTGCAATTTTAAGATTTACCACGTGCTCGGCGGTGAAGGAAAAACATCATGATGAAACCTGCATGTCTGAGATATAAAAAAAAAATATTTCGAAGACATGTGAAGTTCGCCAACACGATTTATTTCGACGCATATTACGACGCATTGGGGCAGCGCGGCGGACTATTTCCTGCCCTAAAACCCTCTCAGAAATGAGTGGAGGCCTGTGCCCAGCAGTGGGACGTATATAGGCTGTAACTTTACTTTACTTTTTATGTTCATTAAATTGAAACTGTTAAAAAATGGCATCATAAGTCAGACTAACCAAGATTTTCTTTGTGAGAAGTATTTCCTTCCATTTTTGTGTATAATCGATGTACCGAACGTTCAGAGTAATGACCTGAAATGAAATTCATAAATCAATATCAAAAGAAGACAAGGAAAGATTTAAAGAAATAACCAAACTAAATATATCACTGTAGGTTAGGAGAAATGGGTGTTTCTCAGTGGATTGAATTGTAAATCCCACGACAATGTAGTGTTAAGTTTAGAGTATGTTTCCTCTCATTACCATCTTTACCAACATTACACGGCGACCCTGCCAGACAATGCGCTGCGACAATGCAAGTGCACTGTCGCAGTCTGAATAATTATTAAACTGTTAAATAAAAAAAAGAATTTAACTGTAATTTACTGGAATTGACACAATTATACTGGATATGATGAAAAGGAAAATTAAGAGAGACCACATTCACAATCTAGCTTGTACACACCTGCATCTTGTAGAGGAATATAACATTTGATAGATGGTAAAAATTGATCAATCTTCTTCGGCGGCTTGTAATTTTTTAATGAAAGCTCCCTTCAAGATGTAACCAACCTTGTCTGTGACTCCTCCGAAATACGGCAGTACAGCAGGCGGACGCTTGACTGTGGCCGGCTTCACTCGGCGTGGGACCCGAAGCTTTTTTAGTTAAATAAATTAACATTTTTTCATATGTATATTAAGTCCCCTTGAAAAGGTCACATACTATGTTCAGCTGTGGACTTGTGATGTGCTGTAATCATGATAATACATATATGATCATATATATCAGTACCTGTTGATGTTGACGGTTCTGCTAGGTTCAAAATTTCTTTCATGGGTTTTCTTTTCATAACTGCTGGTTTATTTGATAATGTAGCTAAAAGAAAATAATAGGATTAACTTTGAAATTATTTATATATATGGCAATAAAAAACAGGCCCAGTATCTGTGATGACTTGCAAAAAGTACAATTTCACAATATAATAATAATATATAACATTATTTAATGAAAAAAGTAGAAAAAGTGGGGTGATAACACATTGCCAACTTAATATTTATGAAAACTAGGCTTAATTATCATATCCTCATCCTTCTGTCAGCCGGAATCGCTACATGTATTATCCTTTTAAGCTCTATAGTGCATATAAGTAGTATTTCATTTTATTCTATTTATTTAATGAATGAATCATGTAAAAATTAATGCTATGTAGGTACCTACTCAATTAGACATATTTTACAATAAAACTATACATGTCATTGATAATATACTGTCCTGAATTAATTCTATAACATATTTACTTTTTCTGTAATCTATAAAGACAAACCTGGCATATTCAAAGTTGGCACAGCAATGTTACTAATTCTGTTATTTCTGCATTGAAATTTTTCTTCAAAATGTGAGTGACACACACGGCGATACTTGAATATGTGCATATTTTCGAGGCCTAGTATATCACCGCCAATTGCATAAATCCATACCCTAAATCGTTCACTTTCCTTTTCTGGGTTTGGAAATCTGTGAAGAACTAGCTTGCCTAAAATATTTACAAGATACATTTAAAAAAGTCATACTTATGTGTTAAAGCCTAAGACAAATAATGCCCTTGATGCAAGTTGTTTGGAGACGAGATGACTTACCCTTACTGTCCTTACATCCGGGGACACAGCAACGCTTATCTGACATAATTATTTAAATTATTTATTCTATGTAACAATGGAGACAAGATATCACAAAAAAACAAATCGTTGGAAATGAAGTTGTAAGAATAATAGGTAGCTCAATTCAACGTAAATAATATAATAGATAAAATAAAACAAAAAAAAAAAATAACATAAAAACACTTTCATAAAATAGGAGCAACTCCACCAAATAAAATAAAATATTAGTTATTCGCAACTCCAATATCGAGAAACAAGTAGCGGGAAACGTGAATAAAACTATTCCATAATGGCAGGTTGTTGTGCTGCCAGATTCAGTTCCAAAAAAAATATCAAAAACATCTAGTTACTGGATTTTTTAATGAATAGTTTTATGAAATCATATGTAAGCAGTATTTATTTATAAGAAAATTTCAAAAATTTTCATTACAGATTTTATATTAATGTTAAACAAAAGCAAATATCTTAATTTCTGTTACACTTATTTTCTACTAAATAGAACTATTTTTTTTAAAGATTTTGTAAAGCTACCTGATGTCGCCACTACCTATGTAGTGGCGACATCTAGTATGTGATGAACGAATTATTCGCTTGAAATTTCGAACAGTGTCACCTATTATTGTAGGTTGGAATAAATACGATTTTATAATACGACTAAATTAAAAAGTAGTCAATAGATATGGTTTTAAATAGTTTACTAAGTGCGTCTTAATTTTGCATAATAGCATTTCGTAGGTTTCCAAGTTTTATGTTCTAAGATTGTAGAGCCTGAATACAACGCAGTGTACTGTCCAATGCAAATGACGTCATCATTTGACAGTTTGACACTTTATTGTACTAGCGTGCCGTCGCCATATTGTGTCGGATATCCGACCATAATAAAACAATTTTTAATTGTGTGTTTGCCGAATAAAGCATGCCAGAATTTGTTTCTATTCATTCAAATACAAAAAATTATAGAATAATTGATGGTATACTGGCATTGGACAGTACACTGCGTTGTATGATGTATTCGGAACATACCCATTGTTAATTCGATTCACATCATTCGGGATTCGTTCGGTTTGCGGCTCATTCACAATTTAAACAGTTCGCGGGTTAAAAAGGTACCGTCAATTGTTTGTGATTGGTTGTACTGGTACATTCGAAAACAAATGAATGAACCATTAATTAAGTGTACCAGCTCAAACGAACGAATCATGCATGATTGACACATGTCTTTGGCGCTCTTTCCAGGGGGGTATCAGTTTTACCTATGAGTTTTACTCGCAAGAGGGCTGTGCAAGAGGGTTCTCTTCTTCCGTATTTTTTTTTTTTATAGAATAGGGTGACAAACGAGCACACAGTCCACCTGATGGTAAGTGGTTGCTGCGGCCCATAGACATCTACATCTATCCTCCATTAAAAATCAAAATGCAGATGCGTTGTCACCCGTGAGGACTGAGATGGAATGCCTCGTTTCCAGTAAAAAGGGTCTCCGGTTCTCTACACTCACCATACGAAATACAGCAGCATTAAGCTACTATTTCACGCTGGTATTCTGTGAGAGCGTGGTCCTTCCCCGGTCGAGCCGACCCATTCGTGCTACAACTATACTACTAATATAACTGCAGCATGGCTCTACCACGTAAAAATTACTATACTCTATACCGTATATATTACTATACTCTTTGCGTGAATTTATTTACGCTTTCCGTACAACCTGGTACAACCATTTTCAATTATTTGTATTTTGTGACATTTTGTAAATAAATATGTAAGCTTAGCTGTGTCCACGGATTTAAGTACAGTGACAGTATATCATCTCGTTTAAACAACTTGCATCAAGGGCATTATTTGTCATAAGCATAAGTGTTAACTAAATAAGTTTTTTTATATGTATCTCTTAAGTATTTTATGCATGCATCATGTTCTTCACGGATTTCCAAATATGGAAAACGATAGTGAACGATTTAGGGTATGGCTTTACGCAATTGGCAGTGATTTACTAGACCTCGAAAATATGCACATATTCAACTTCAAGTATCGCCATGTGTCACTCACATTTTGAAGAAAAGTTTCAATGCAGAAATAACAGAATCAGTAACATTGCTGTGCCTACTTTGAATATACCAGGTTTGTCTTTATAGATTATAGAATAAGTAAACATATTATGGAATGAATTAGGAACATAATATAGTATGAATTATGTATATAGTTTCTTTATAAAATATGCCTAATTAAGTAGTTTTCTAACTAGTAGTAATTTTACCATGATTCATTCATTAATCTAACTAGAATATTATTACATACTATTTATATGCACTATCGGACTTAAAAGGATAATGCATGTAATGATTACGGCTGACAGAAGGATGACGCTTTGATGATCTACCATTAGGTCTAGTTTTCATAAAAGCTTGCAATGTATTATCACCCCTCTTTTATACTTTTTAAAAATAAATTATTTTATAATATTATTATACAGTGAAAATATACTTTTGTAAGTCATCACAGATATTGGTATGATAATGATATAAATAATTTCAAAGTTAATCCTATTATTTTCTTTTAGCTACATCATCAAATAAATCAGCAGTTATGAGAAGAAAACCCATGAAATATATTTTGAACCTGGCAAAGTTGTCAACACCAACAGGTACTGATATTTTTCAACAAGTCTGCTATATATACTTATAATCATAATACTATCATCATCATTACAGCACATCACAAATCCACTGCTGAACATAGGATGTGATCTGCTCAAGGGGACTAATATTTTAATGCTTCCATCATTGTTTATTTATGAGTATGTCCTAATATACATATGGAAAAATGTAAATTTATTATTAAAAAAAGAGAGAAGTTTCCTGTAGAAAGGGTTGAGATGATACCATAGAAGTTCCAAGTAAATTTGGATCGACTTAAGAAGTCCATAATATTAAATAATAAAATCTCTATAAAAATATAATGCAATAATTGAACGTAAGATTTATAAAACTTATGAAGGAAATTTTGTTAAATAACTAATAAAAAATTAGTAAACCCAAAACAAAAAAGAAGAGAGAGATTTTCTTGAATTGTAACTTAGAACACTCTTGATTTTTTGATTTTTTTTGCGCCCGAAGCAAATATGGGCAACCCTCCGGAAAGCGGGGGAGGGAGGTTGAGAATGCTCATAGCATACCACGCAGCCGGCTGCGTGGTTATGTGGAGACTTTTACCCACTAAACTCAACCTTTTGGGAATTGGCTTAACGATCTGACTAGAGATCTCTAAGCCGTATACGAACGCGACCCTCCTTGGCAGAAAGGAGGGCGCAAGGCAGAAAGGAGGGCGCAACATTCTTGATCTAGTCACCTTTCAACAAGAAAAGCTAAATAATAGTCCGTCTATGCGGCCACTATGATACTTCAGACAGACGCTCAGATACATATGTTCAATTTATAACACCACTTAATTTACTCAGGCCCCAGTTAAGGGTCCTTCTGTTTTAAGTTATTATGAAATTAGCTAACCTAACAACATTTTATAGTGACCATACCAATGTTAAAAATCTTTTATGTTTTAAATATATAGATTGACTTGGCCATCGCATGAAAACGCAATGTATCTCACAAGTAATACATATTATATTAAATTAGATTGCTTAATGAAACAGAAGGACCCTTAAGTAGGAACTGAATAAATTAATAGACTTGGTATTACATGGATCTCACAACTTTTTACGGTAGAAGAACTGAGTTGGTTTTTATACAAGTAATGGTTTGATGGCATCTCATTTCTTTTTGTAGACAAGATAGTCCTAGTTCTTTTTCTTTCCGGTACCTTCTACTTCTTGTATACCAACAACGTACCTATCTACACCTATTATACATATAAAAGAACACTGATTCATTCACTGCAAATGTAACCTTGTAATTCTATATATTTATATCTGATTACAAAGTTATTTATGCAGTTTGTGTATCTAGAAAACTGGACCGAAATTTAAAAATATTTTTGTTTTTCCTTGATTTATACACTAAACTCTAATTGTGTTCTAAATTTTAAGCTTCTATATCTTCTAGAAGTGCCTTAGAGTTTTGATGATCGGTCAGTCAGTGAGTGACAAAATTAAGAAATTTTGACTAGTTATAATTCTTAAACTACTGGTTCAAATTGAATGAAATTTGAAATATACCATGTTTATACAATGTCTACTTGGTTACTGAAAATTCAGGCTTCTATTTTTATCCACTACGAAGTTATAGACACAATATGACAAAATATTTCATAGCCTGACATTGTATGATTGCAACCTTTTTAAGCTATTGCATAGCTTCTATTGCGGGCCTTGAGCGCGGGGACCGAATTCAGAAATTCCGTAACGAAAACAAACCTCACGCTCCCCACGCCGACGGGCACGGAGGTGTGGCTTGAAGGCCGTGCATACACGGTGTATGTGTGCGTGCAACTAACAAACACAAACACGCGTATAGTTTAAATTCTCAATTTAGATTCTCAATATATATATACAGGGTCATTTTTAATTTACTGAAAACCTTTGGGGAATATATTATATACACCATAACAACAACATCTGTAGGAAAAAAAACATATTTCTTCAATTTTTATTTTCATACAAAAATAAAAATATTTTAATTGGAGCTTCTAAACGGTAATAGTCATAGATAAATAAATATGTAGCAAGGTAATAGTCCTAGTTAGGCAGTTAGCAATAAAAAGCGCGTGGCGAGGGAAGGGTGGAGGGGTGTAGGGGGCGACGATACTCATAAACTTGACCTAATTAGTAACATGTGTTGTTAGTCGCCTTTCAGTTTATACAAAGGTACTCCGTGCAGTCGCCTTTGATCACGGCTGGTAATCATTCAGCAAAAATCTATGGCCGTATGAAATGCTGTGAGCAATTCATTACATGACGTTTCCCTCGTCCCTCGCACCTCATGCCCCTTCCCTCAGTGGCCATTTTGTCATGTTAAACGGGCTACACACGAGACGATATCGGTGGCGATCTAGGGTGGAAAGAAATCGGGGCTTTTA